TCCTCCCAGGGTTGGTAGTTTTTGTTGGGAAGCCTTTCTAGAAAGAATAAACACCGGTGATCTGCTCCAAAAGAAGAGACCCAATACTTGCTTGTCACCTCATTGGTGTGTTCTTTGCAAAGCGGAGGGGGAGACTAGTTTTCATTTACTGGTGTCTTGCCAATTTGCAAAGTCTATTTGGGAGTGGGCCTTTTCTTTTTTTTGGTGCAGCTGGGACCCTCCATTAGACATGCAGTGTCTTTCTCCCCTTCTTTTTTCAGGTGGCGTATGAAAAGGGGAAGGACTATGTGGAGGAGATTGAGGGCTGCAGTATGCTAGTCATTATGGGAAGAAAGAAATTCCAGGATCTTCTCAGAAGTGGAGAGAAGGGCTGAAGAACTGAGGGCTATAGTCCATATTAGGGCTGTCCAATGGCTGAAATCCTTAGAGTTATTTACAGATTACACAGTGGATGACATGTTGAGGAAGTGAGGTGATATTGCAAACTGTACACAGGCCAGATCAGTAATGAGTGTGCCCTGGACCCCACCACCTGTTGGATTCATAAAACTAAACTTTGATGGGAGTCGTAGGGGGAATCCCGGACAGTCAAGGATTGGGGGTGTCTTTAGAGATGAGAATGGGGTCATTTCTGCCTTGTTCTCAGGCCCAATTGGAGTGGATGACTCTCTTAGAGCTGAGATCTCTGCAGTTATGGAAGGAATCCAAAAAGCAAAGGAGATGAATCTCAGAAAGCTTATAATTGAAAGGGACTCAGAGGTGGTGATAGGGTGGCTGAATAAAGATAACAGTGGCTTATGGAATTACAGCAATGAGAGGAGAAAATTTAAGTGGCTGGTGCGGGAGATGGAAGTGAAGATGAATTGGGTTAAAAGATCAGCTAATTCTTTAGCTGATGGATTAGCTAAACAAGGGGTAGAAAGGGACTCAATGTTTTGAGCTAAATTGTAACTTTATTGTTTCTTCCTTTCCTTTTCTTTTCTTTTGAAGGCTTAAGTTGTATTTGGAAGATAAGAGTGTTTGTCTTCCTCTTTGTAATTATTTTAATGATGAGTTAATGAATTTGTTATTGATAAAAAAAAAAAAAAAAAAAAAACTACATGTCCAAAAAAATGAATGTGGCAGAAATGCAAATGTTGAGATGGATTAGTGGGAAAACTAGAAAGGGTAGAATTAAAAATGAACTCATCCAAAAGAACTAAAGAATAGCTCTAATAGGTGATAAAATGAGGGAAAGTAGACTAAGATAGTTTAGGCATGTGAAGAGAAGGTCAACTACAGCATAAGCAAGAATTGATCTATTACAACTTGAAGGGGCTAGAAGAGATAAGGGCAGGCCAAAAAGGACATGGGTTGAACAGGACGGAATGGTGGAGCGATTCAACATTCAAGCAGCTGGCTACCCACCCATCACAATATCAATAATATTTGGCTGTAAGTGCCCATTTGCTAGGTAGTGATACGAAAATGTTTCGGTGATATTTCAGATTTCATTGATAGGTTATACATTTAAACTTCAAAATTTTAGAACATTACTAAAAACCTCTCAATATTTCATTAAAGTTGTCATAATTTTTTTTAAAAAATATGTTTTCCTAAAAGAACCAGCAAGGAATTACTGATTGGATAATTGGCTGACTACATTGATATGATTCGCTTACTAAGTCACTAGAATTCAAAAGAAAAGGAAAAATGCATATAACTATAAAAGAATATTCTTAGGGCTGTCAATGGGTCGGGTCTGACCTGACGGACCCAAACCAATTGGGTTGATTCTGGTTCCAGGAACCACAACCGATGGGTCGATTTCAGTTCCTGATATATTGTCCCGATTATTATTGCTTCGGAACCGGTTCCACCCAGTCCCGAACTAACTCAGATCCAACCCAATCTATATATATTAAATAAATTAGTGCGTGTATATATATAATATTTTCAGTAGGTTTATTATAATCTGGTCAATCGGGTCAGACCTGATTGTCCCGAGAACCAATCAGTTCAGTTCTGGGTCTAAAACTTGCAGACCCTATCAGGTCTGGTTTGGTTCCAGGTCTTTAGTATTTCTTGTTGGATCAGTTCCAGTTCTACTTGGATCCAACCTAGACCCAACCTGTGGACAACCCTAAGTATTCTCAATCTAATCAAAAACCATATGGTAACAATAAAGACAAAAGTTATGGCAAGCAATTGACATATATAAAGAAGATTGCTAAAGACCAAAAGGGAGACAGAGAAACATACCTATTACAATCGCTTAAATTTTTCCTATTTGATTTATACGGTTCTTTGTTATGGTTTTCTGACCTTAAATATGCAATTATATTTCTTCTAATGATCTCTTGAAGATTTATTAACTAACTTAATTTTTTTTATCAATAACCGAAATAATTTCATTAAATTAAAAGGATGGAAGTACAAGGATGAAGATAGGGAGAGATAAATTCTCTTTATCTCTCCCTTAATTAGAAACATGATTACAACAAAGCCCAAAACAGTTAGTTTCTTCCCACCCCTTGTTTAGCAAAAGAATCAGCAAAGGAGTTAGAATCTCTTTTTACCCATCATAGAGTAACCTCCACTTCTTGTAGCAGCCTTCCAATTCTCCTTCTCTCATAAATGTAACCCCACCAACCAGCATCCTTTTGCAACCAATTTATAACCTACTTTGAAACACTTTTGATCACCAATTTATCAATATGCAATTCCTTAGCTTTTTAAACACCTTCCAAAACAGTGATTATTTCAGCCCGCAATGAGTCACCCTTACCAATTGGACCAAAGAATAGAGCAATAATTCTCCTTCATCATCCCTAAGCACTCCTCCAATACATGATGGACCCAGATTCCCTTCACTACTGCCATCAAAATTAACTTTATGAAATCACCATGAGGTGGGGATCAAGATGGTCTAATAACAGCCTTAAAGGGAGAAGAACAATCTACTTCAAACCATTTACTTCCTCATCAAATATTCAAATCATCAGCAGGAAAATCCTCAAAGAGTTTCAAGAACTTCACCCAATGTACCACTCCAATGGCACCGATTTCAATTAAGGCACCCCTATTCCTCTCATTCCTTGAAAAGGTTCTCTGATTCCTTTCTTCCCAATTCGTCCAGCATACAAATGCCCTTGTACACCTCCAAAGAATTCTTCCCCTCTTCTTCAACCAGCTAACAAAAGTAGAAGCAAACAAGTTTTGTACATTTGGTGGGGGGTTCCACCCACACCCGAACAAAGAGAGAAACCATTCCCAAATTGAAGAAGTGAAGGGGTAGGAGATTAAAAGTGATAGCAAGTCTCACCCTCGGCCTTGCAGAGAGAACACCAATGGGGGGGATAAGCATCAATTAGGTCTTTTCTTTGGAGTAAATCACAAGTTTAATTCTTTCCAAAAACATTTCCCAGCAAAAAGCTCATATCCTAGGTGGAATACGCTTGCTCCAAACCTCCTTGACAGGAAAGGATACACCAAGACTATCACCGAGCTGTATAAAGGACCTAAAGAAAGATACACAAATGAAGGAACCACAGGAAGAAAGAGTCCAAATTCACCCATCCCTTCTAAATGGATCCAAGAACCCCTTCAAGACTTTAGAACAATGACAATACATTACTTATTTTAGACTCACGGAGGCGTCTTCTGAAGCTCAGGTCCTAGTCAAACCCAAACCTAGACTTAGAAGGAACCAAGAAAGAAGAAATGAGCTCTCCCCTATGATTGGAAAGGGCGAAGAGAGATGGGAATTGTTCCTTTAATGGCGAATTGCCTAGCCAAACATGTTCCCAAAATTTGACAAGATTTCTAGAATTTTGAACACCGACATGTAAACAAGCAAATTAGCTAATGTGGACTTAATCAATGTGATCCCTTCACCCAAAGATAATGCCAATTTCTTTGTGAATTGTGAACGTGTCAACCACTGGGTTCCAGAAGCTGCTACCTCTAGGATTATCCCCCAAGGATAAACCCAAACCATAGGTCATTAAGAAACCACACAACCAAAAATTTTTGCTCCCTCTGTCATCTCCCTCTCTTCTATATTCAAACCCACAATACAACTTTTGTCAAAATTGGTTTTCAAATTGGACATAACTAAATTGATTTTCAAATTGGACATAATTAACTTAATGCTTCTAGAAACCTTTCTTAATTTTTTAGATCTTCCAAATATCTAAGCAAAATTTCTCCAACTCTACATGGTGAAATGTTCATCAATATTGATATTACGAACCATGGTTGGGACAAGGCTTAGATGATTACAATGACGATGATTTATGCTATATACGCATGCAAACACACCATGGTTCACAATATCCCCAACATATCCAATTTTGCTAAGTGGTGATATGAAATTTTCAAGAAATCTTTTTTCCCAACTGTCTCTAATATTTTGCCAATATGTCGAAAATATTTCAAATTTCATAGATAGACTATATATTTAAGATTTAAATTTTTAGAATATTATTATTTTGATATTTTATTAAAAATCATCATAATTTTTAAAAGTATTTTCCTAAAAGAACCAATGGAGAATTTGTGATTGAATAATTGGCTTACTATTTTTATACGATTCACTTACTAAGTCACTATAATTCAAAAGAAGAAGAACAATGAATATAACCACAAAAGTGTTCTAAATTTAATCAACACATATAGTAACAAAAATACAATAGTCAAAATGGCAAGTAATTGACATAATTAATGAAGATGAGATGGCTAAAAAACTGAAAAAAGAGGTAGAGAAATATAAACGTGCAATTATAATTTTTAATAATTCCTTAAAGGTTTATTAACTAATTCCATGGTTCTAGAAAATATTCCTGTTTTTCTAGATTTTCTAAACATCTTAGCAAAATATATTCAATATATATCCATCTCTACATGGAGAAATGTCTATTGACATTTCTACACACACACAGAGATTATTAAATTACATGCATACATACATCAATACATACAGAGAGAGAATAGAGAGCTTCATCAAAACTGAACCATACATTTTGCCAAGTCATTGCTGAAGAGATGTTGAGTATCAGGAGTAATTCGGTGTAAGAATTCAACATAATCTTCTGAATGGAATTGAGCAAGTTCAACAGGGTAAGCCTTGTGAGGCCGCTGCATTGTTGAACAGAAAATATAAATAAATCCCAGTACTGACTGTAACTGTAATAACGAATGTCATATATACAAATTTAAAAAAAAAAAAAAAAAAAAAACACTCAGAGACTAACATATATTTCCATCTTCTTGTGGAGCTCATATGACAGGACAAGATGGTGTGCCATACAAAGACGATGTGGCTTCATTGGATGGTTTGGCCCAAAGTAAACATTGCCTACATCACCTGCATCACAATACATGATTAAGCTTCCTATGAGCCTTTATTCTGAGCAAATAATATTTAACCAACAACCCTTAATGTACATTTGAAAACGTCAAACATATTTACCTTGTACTTTTGTTTAGAAGCAGAATATAATCACATAAACTTAATGAATAATCAATTTATAGTAAATTTAAATATATTAATAAAAAAAGGTAAATCTCCACGTAGAAGAAAGGGCTTTGTGGCCAAGCAAAAAGATGCAAAAACCCTACATAAGAGAGCAGGAAAAGGAGGACCAATATAAGCATCCAAACAGTCCATCCTAACCCTCCACATCCCAAAAATGTATGCTCTCCTAGATAGTTGGGGAGTATTAAACTGGAGTTATTGTTTGGATGTGGGGAAAGGGGGTGTTGAACTAAGATTGAAGGATTTCTGTACTTTGTTTTTATGGGTATGATTGGTGTTCTTATGGATTGCCAATTGTGTAGGGGGTTTTGGTTGGGCCAAACAGGAGATTGGTTGTCATTCATTGATCTTTACCCCTCTCGGGTGATTTTTTATAACCTAGTCTCGTATCTTCTTCTTTACTAACGAATTTTATATTTTACTGTCAAACAGGATACACAAACAACTGTCCTCTAACCATACAAACAACCTCTACACGGAAAGAAAACCAACAAGTAGATGGCACATTCCCCTGTTCCATCTCCTCCCCCCCCCCAACTATTGCTAGAAGTTTCTTTGTCTGCCTTCTTTATAATTCTCTTGCCAGTTGCCACTAACTAACAATTCTGAATTTTCCAGATTCAGGTTTTTCCCCTCTCATCCTCTTGAGGTCTAATGCTCCAGCACATTTTGCTCAAACAAACTAAGAGTATTCAAAATGGTAGAGTATTCTTGCTTTGCTATGAATTTTCTAAAGCTGATTCATCAAATACCATGGAATCTTCCAAGCATGAAATGGAGCTCTTGGATTTTCTTAGCTTCAAGGTTTTCTTAATCTGGAAGATCCTTCACAAAAACATTTACACTGAGAAGATATCCACCCAAAAGAAGTAATGGAATCTTCTTTTTGGTAATTTGATTCAACCTTCTCCAATCTGTGGTTGTAGTCATCTGAATGTAATAAAGTGATACTATCACTATGATCAAAGAATAATAATGTGTTGTTTTTGGGAAAAGGATGCCTCTTATGTATCTGGGTTCTAAGCCTGCCACAATTAATAGATTATTTTTATTGTCTTCCCCGTGGACAAGGGCACAAGGCATCTTGCTAAAGCCAAAGTGCCAAACCACATAAATTTTTGCGTCTTCATGTGCTTGGCTATTTTCTATTTATTTCCTCAATATTTAACTAGCCATCAAAACCACGACCGCCCCTCCTCAGAACAAGAAAGATAGAGTCGAGGGGAAACCTGATAGTGTGGGGTTGATCTGGTATGTTCTGTTTTACTGCTTTTACATCTTTACCTGAGAACTCATTGTTTATTTCATGAACAGCACATCATTCAGCATACTCATAACTATCAACTCCGATGAGTTTGAAGGGGAGTAAAGAAGATATTATTTTTATTTAAAGAATCACCACTAAAGAGAACCCATGGGAGACTAAAAAACGTGAAGCAGGAATTCTAGGGTTTTCTTGTTAAGTAGCCGAATGGAATTGCAGACGAGTTCACGTTCACAAAACTAGAATTCAAGACTACTAATGACGCGTGGACTGATAACTAAATGGAGAGGGGAAAAAATTACCATCGTAGAAGTAGGCTATCCTGTCCCTCGAGGGCATTTTAGCCGGTGAAAAACGACGACGACCTGGGGATATCTCGCCCTTGCCGGGATTCCCAACGGCAGAAACAGAAAATTGTATGACATGAAGATTTAACATAACCGAGCCAAGGCTTTTCGCCCCAACGGTCATGAACCGGGTTTCACTAAGACCAAATAACTGGCGGTTCATGATTTAGCTAGAGGTGTGGCGACCCGTGCTTTTGGCGGGCCGGGCTTGCTACATCTGGGAAACTTTAGAGGTCCGGCATGGAACGGCCCATGGCACGGGCCCGGGCCGTGTTGTGCCATGGGTGAGGTTGGTCCGTGGGCCATGCTGGGCCAAACTGTGAGAGGTATATTTAAAAAACAAAGAAAAAATATTGAAAAATTTTAATTAAATTAAAAAAATAGATAAAATATTAAAAAAATCTTAAAATTTTATTTTATATGAATTTTGATGCATACAATTGTTTATATATGCAATAATAAAATTGAAAATAAAATTATATTATATATTATTATGTAATATTTGCGATGAGTCCATAACTTATTGCATGTTTGCGATGAGTTCATAATTCACTGTAAATTTGCGATGAACTCATATTTGAAATATGCCGCGATGAACTTCAACTAGCGCAAAACCACGATAAACCTTATGCATACATAAACATGCAATAAAGGTTATGTGAGTGCGAATCTGTGATGATCTATAAGACACGCACGAATTTATGATGAATTTCGGATGCGCACAGAGGTTCAAAGAACTCGAGACCGTTACAAAACCACGGAATCACAATAGATCGGGAATAAACACCGATCACACATGCGTCTTAAAAATTACACATGTAGGTTTAATAAAAACATACCCACCGAAATGCAACGTCATTATAAAAGGGCCACAAAATAAGTAGCGTACGTAGAAAATCCTTATGGGAAATGAAACACTATTTTCAAAGAATATCACTATACACGTGACAAAACCCCAATAATGCTCTCTTAATAATAAAAAATATATTTTCCTAACACGAAACGTCTCAATTTAAGTCATTTTCCATATATAGCATTGATTTTTTCTCTATAAAATGAATGAGCAATTCTCCCTTAGAGACAACAGGTAATATAATTTTGACCTAGGGTTTATCACAAGGAAAAAACTCCCTTATCTCCTCTTTCCTCTCTTCCCCATGTCCTCTTTCTTTTTCATTGTCTTCACTATACCGTCAAAGATTGACCAAGCTCCGCATTACCATGGTACTTGCAGGGTGTGAGTTATTGTCATTTTTGTTGGCACCAAATAACTTTATTATAATTACTAATTACCAAATCATTAATAAATATTCAAAATTAAGTTACAAAACTTTAGCACGTTAACAAAATCCACTTAATGATATTACAACAATTCCAATTAATTATAATTTGGTAAATTTATATTATTTTTGATTATTTCAAATATTTTTATTAAAATAATGGCATTGATAAAATATTAAATTAATTAACAAATAAATTTAAATTTAAATATTAAAATTTAATAAATTTTAAAATAATAATACAATTTTAATTTTATTAATAATTAATAAAAATTAACAAAGATCATCTAACCAAAAAATAATATTTGGATTGGACTCAAACTAGCACAACCCATTTGGGAATGTCACAAGGTTTCTTTTGCTTCAATTTCTCCCAACAAAAACAATATTTAGATTTGCTCTTTTGCTTCAATTTTACTCCCCTCCATTATCATATTGGATAATAGTTGTTTTGTGGCTCTGCTAGTACCATATAAAGTGAGGACACTTACCTTGTTTAGGTGCAAGTCATAAAAATTAAATTTGATTATTTAATATGAACCTGTATGTTTATTTTTCCTTGCCTTTTCCATTAGATTGAGAAAAGTTTGCATTTAAAACATTTCCTCAACATAGGCCAAAATACAAGTGACCTTTAGGATTCGTTTGGCTTGTGAAACGGGGATGAGAAAGTGAATATTCCAAAAATATTCATTTTTTTATTTGCTTTGAGGGAAATATAGGGATGGATGAGAAAAAACGTGAGATGTAGGATCCCCAAAATCGTGTAATCAGGATTGCACCAAAACATGCGACTCCGGTGGGAAAACTCATAAAAAAAATTGGGCCTTTTTTTAAACAAAGAGCTTTGATATACTTTTTTTCTTTAACTTCTACATATCCCAACGGTTGGATCTCTGGCGATTTTTTTTTTTTTTCTAGCCATTTCGTTCAAAGTTAAGATTAGATCCATGACCCATGAGAGTTTCGGAATAACTAGAGTTGTGAAATGGTTCAACAATATGACGGTTTTGGAGATTTGCTGGGGGGGAAAGGGTGAAATCTATGATTGATACCACCAAAGATGAAGGTATTTCAGGTGATCGGCCCCGATGAATCCGTGATTACCCCCGATGGATCTTATTTCAGGGAAGCTGGAGAGAGAGTTACAGTGATGGCAAATGTGGACAAAGTGGTGGATACAATTTTGGATGTGGTTATGGTGGTGCAAGCAGTGGTGGGTATGGTGGCAATAGTATGGTTTTAATGGGGGTGGTGGTAGAGGCGGAAACGGTGGAGGCGACAATGGATGAATAAGGTATGGTGAAGGTAGAAAAATGATGGCAATGACCATGATGAGGTATGGTCTTCAAGCAGCATTTTCACACTAATGGATGCAACAAGTGGATCTTTGCTTCCTTTGCTCATCACGACGATGCCTATGAGATGGAAAAAATGGGAACGCAAGGGTGGATTTTGTTTTGTGTTGGTCATTTTTCCTACTATTTTTCCCATGTAAAATCAAACAATGGAGAATTAAGGCCATGTTTGTTTCTTTGCTATGAGTCTCATTCTCTTAATTATTGCTAATTATAGGTAATAATGGGCAATAATGAATAACATTATAATGTTGGGTTACAAAATTATTGACAAGGGCCACATTATTTTTAAAATGAAAAATCAGTCCCATAGCACAAAAATTGACTAGCATGCACCATGAAAAATAATCATGCCCCATTTTGCTCATTTCATTATTGGAGGAAACTCTACCTATAAAGCTTTTGCCATAGATGTTTACTTTTGCAAATGCACTTTTATGAAAAGCACTTTTATAAAAATACTTTTATATGAAAGTATTTTTATGGAAGTACTTTTACGAAAGCACTTTTTATGGAAGTACTTTTACGAAAACACTTTTATTGAAGTGTTTTTACAAATGCACTTTTATTGAAAGCATTTGTACGGAAGTACTTTTATGAAAGCACTTTTACGAAAGTACTTTTATGAAAACACTTTTCTAAAAGCAATTTTTACGAAAGTACTTGTACAAAAACACTTTTATAAAAGCACTTGTATAAAAACACTTTTATGGAAGCACATTTACGAATGAACTTTTATAAATGTCATTTTATATAGTACTTTTATGAAAGCACTTTATAAAATTACTTTTGTGAAAGTACTTTTATAAAATCACTTTTATGGACTTCTGCGTAAGTACTTTTATGAAAACACTTTTATAAAAGTATTTTTATGAAAGTATAAAAGAACTTTTAGGAAAACACTTTTATAAAAGCACTTTTACAAAAATACTTTTATTAAAACATTTTTATGGAAGCACTTTTACGAAATAACTTTTATAAAAGCAGTTTTATGGAAGTACTTTTACGAAAGGACTTTTATAAAATCACTTGTATGGACTTCTACGTAAGTACTTTTATGAAAGCACTTTTATAAAAGTATGTTTATGAAAATATAAAATAACTTTTAGGAAAACACTTTTATAAAAACAATTTTACAAAAGTACTTTTATTAAAAACATTTTTACGAAAATACTTTTATAAAAGCACTCATATGAAGGTACTCTTAAAAAACATCTATGCCAATTAGTAAACATTGACTATTGGAGACGGGTGGTTTGTGAATACCGATAATGAGCAACATAAGACACTTGTTAGTCTGAAAATAATTAATTTTTAAGAAAAAAATATCTGGTTCATACCAATATTTTTATCATTCTACCTATTTTTACTCATTATTTTTCATTTTAGAATTTCATATTAGGTAATAATGAAAAAGAATGAGAATTGAACCAAACATGGTCTAAATTTTAACACCTTCCCATCCCATCCCATCTTTTTCTTACCCCACCCAAATCTTCCCCACAAACCAAATAGAGCTTTAAATAAAATTTCACTCCGGACTCTATCCGAATCCACATAAACCGAAATTGGAGTTAAAAGAAATCAAATTTTAATATGAGTAAATCCGATTCGATTAACCTTTTAAATGAATCAATAAAAATTCGGCATATAAGTTACTTAACGGCAGTTAACTATTCGATTGGGTTTCCTTCTGAATTTCTTGGGATATGTTCCTCACAACGACCTCACACATTTCACCGTGTATCGGCTGATTAATCAGGAGATGTTTCCGATACACGGCTGATACATGCTGTGAGGTTCGCGTATCGTGAGAACGCGCCACGTGTCTGTTGGCTCGTGCGCTGGCTTCATGCGTGCGAAACAAATTAAACGTCGTCTATCCTTAACGCCGTTAGCTTCTCATACAATGTGTTTCGTTCCCCTTCCCGCTTTCTTTTTCTCCACACCGAATCGAACCTGTTCACTCTCTCCCTCTCCAACCGGCGTCGACGAACAATCATCACCGACGTCCGGAGAAAAACCTCAGGTATTGATCTTTCATTTTTTTTTCTTCCCCAAACATTGCATCTTTGACATGAAAGACCTGACCCTAACCGTTTTGGATGGCAGTCGTATTCACTGTCTCGGCATCATCCGCGACTGTTTTCTACAACTGACGCCCTCCCCATAAATCCTCCTCCTTTTTCTTCTTCCCCATCCCTGTTAGTCAGAAGGGCTGCCCTCCTATCACTCTTACTCTTCTTCTTCCTCCCTAGTAACCTGTTTTCTCCAGCCAAACCTGAGAACCTCTCCCTACACATCTCTTTCTCCCATTCTTCTTCTTCTTCCTTTCCTCTCTCCCTCCACACCTTTCTACTTCTATCTCATTAGTTGAGAAACTTCAGCGAAGCCACCCACACCGAACCGGGGAGGTAGAGACGATCCCATCCTCTCTCTCCTTCTATCTTCTTATTCTTTTCCACTTTGGTTTACCTTCCACTGCTGTTGTAACTAAACCAACAAAAAGCCTCTGCCGCCATTAATGGTAACCCGTGTTGTTATCTCGGACGAAAACCAGAGAGGAGGTAGGGTTTATTGTTAACTGCCCTTAAGTCTGTAAAAGGTGGCCAATTTTTTATTTGAAGGTCCATATAAAAGGTGAACCGAAGGGTCCATAGACCTTACCCAAAAAAAGGGTCATATAATGCGAGCGTGATGTTGGATTGTGGGTTTTAGCAGGGCTTTTATTTATCACGTTTTTGGTACTTGTGTTCAATTCATTTTCATTGTTTTCTGTAATAGCGGCAGAACTCGCGAAGCAATCTCAGAGGGGCAGACGAACAATTAAACATGGTCGTCCGGGAAGAGTACGTTATTTATCTGAAGTTTCTAGGTTTCCTGCATTTTTGTTTACTTTTGTTATTTTTATTTACTGCATAAGGGAGTCAAGGACGCAAACAATTATAGTTTATTTATTATTATTTTTTTGTTCTCATTTCATTTATTAAAACTCGATTTCATCGTTTATAGCTTCCCAGTCGATAAGCAATTCATAGCTTCTCCAGTGAAGTCGGCGGTCGACAAGTTCCAGCTTCTTCCTGAGTTCCTAAAGGTACCATCGGCAGTCGTTAGAATATAGCACTTTTTTTTTGTTCGTAATATTATAGCGAAAACTGGGATTTGATCCCTGGTTATAGTCCAATTTAATTGTACTTGTAGTCGCCATTTTCTTTCTTTTTTTTGACGCAAGATTATTCATTGTTTGTCAACTTACTATTTCTTCATATTTTCTATTTACTTCTTGAGTTGCAGGTGAGAGGTTTGGTGAAGCAACATTTGGATTCGTTCAATTACTTCGTTAACATTGGAATCAAGAAAATTGTTGAAGCCAATAATCGCATCACAGCCAGTTCTGATCCCAATTTTTACCTCAAGTATATATATATTTTTTCCTCAATTGTTTTTGGCCTAGTTTTTTTTTTTTTTTGGATTTTCATTTTCCAACAGGGATTTATTTCTGATAAACTGTCAAATAGGTGAAACTACAGCTTCTTTATTTGTTGTTATTCAGGTACACCGATGTCAAAATTGGAACGCCCTCTATCACTGCAGATAATGTAACTGACACTCTCACACCGCATATATGCCGTCTGTCCGACATGACGTAAGTTACCACTGTCTCTTAACTCCTTTTTTATTGCTTTTTTTTTTGTTTACAAACATCGAAGTTCTCTTTTAGTTCCCATTTGTTGAGTGGCACTTGTAAATGCACATGCAAGTGTGGGAGAGAGATGAATCAAATGCTGATACAGGAAAATAAATGGGATTAGATTTTTGGCATAGTGGCCTGGATGTGAAGTCAAGGCAAGTATCAACATTATATAGTAAAGATACATACACCAGTTCTACCTTCCCACTTGTGTTGCTTAGTCATAAGATTTGCTCACTCAATGGGTTTGGTTTATACTGACATAACTACAGTTTTAGACTTAAATGAGACCAAACATGAAAAGTTTCTTGACTCCCCCCTCCCCCCTAGGAACTTATTCTTAAAAAAAGCTTGGGCTGTTCAACATACATACATATATCTATCCATCTATACACATTTGCTTCATTTTAATCAGCTTTATTTAACATACATTTTCATTGTCTCAAGGCAGGACTTATCAGGGTTCGTCCTTACCACAAATTTAAGAGAAGCAACTTTTTGGAAGTAGCCTCAGTCAGGAAGGCACCGCGGTTATATTCAATTAATCAAAATTTTGAAGTCCTGTCAGAGGAGATGGGAGAAAGGAATAGGATAAAGTTTACTAAAGGGAATGGAGAGGAAGAGAGTGACACTGGGAAGGAGGATGTGGAGGAGATGACTGTTGATAGAGGGGGAAAAAGGTGAGAGGAAGGGAGTTTTAAAAAATTGAATGGAAATGAAAATTCAGGTTGAGGTTGAAGAGTATATCACTGAGGAGAGTGTGGGTATTGATCGACTGGTGGACAGACAGGTGGCAGTTGGGAATTCTATTGGTCTTTTCTTTTTTTTTTTTTCTCCCATCCTATTGGGTCTTGTGAAACCCTAGTTTTTTTTTTTTGTTTGTGGGGGGGGGGGAAGTGATGGTGAGGAAGGCAATTGAACACTTTGAACAAAACGGGAGGGAGGAATACTCTAAGAGGAAAGCAGTTAGGGAGGGGGTAAGATTTGGGAGGAAGGTGAAGGGAGGGTAGTTTTTTTTTTTTAACTGTATTGTAAAGTATTTTATTAAAGCAAAAAGCCAACAAAGAACCCCTGTACAATGAGAAACTGAACAGAGGATATACAATTTGCTCCCTACAGCCCAAAACCCAAAAAACAGCTAACTTTTCCTTACAAAAAGAACTTCCAAATCAAAGAAAGAACTTGGATGTCTATTTCTAAACAAAGTGTGAACTGCCAACCAAGAACGAGCCATCCCCAGAATTTTACGTAGGATTTCTTCCTTTGAAGCCTGAACCCCTGCAGACAGTCTCCTGTTTCTTTCACTCCACAGTCCATAACATTGCTGAAGATGCTCCATGTTACTTTTCCAGCTCTACTTAAACCTTCTAGATGCCATGCCTCAATGAAACCCATCACTTCAGCTGGGAAGCACCATTTTACATCAAACACACCTACTATCCTTAATTAGATCCAATGAGTAAATTCGCATTGAATCAGTAAGTGACCAGAAGACTCCACATTACCATTGCATAATAGGCAATCCAAATCTGCCACCTGTAGACCTCTCCTGACTAGACAAAGAAGGCCAGTTTAGAGGGGACAGCTTTAATCCAAATCCTGTCACTTGGAAATGGTGCGGTCTTCTCCCTTGCTACAGATTTGAAAAAGGATCTTACAGAAAAGTTACCCGGCTTCTCTAACTTCCACAATCTTTTGTCTTCCCCTAGACCAGACGTTTCTGAATCATATAGAATTTGGAGCATGCTGATCAGTGATGGCACCTCCTAGTTGTTCAGGTTCCTTCTGAATTGGGGGTTCCATATGCAGTGTCCATTCTGTCTTTCCAAATACTCAGCTACAGTAGCATTCTTATTTGTGGCTATTTCATACAAATCAGGAAATAAAGTCATTAAAGGTCCTTCTTCACACCAGAGATCCTTCCAGAACAGAACCCTCTGGCCATTTCCCACTTTATACTTGATGCCCTTCAGAAACAGATGTTGTACTAGAGTGAGAGGAGGTTGTGGGTGAAAAGGGAGAGGGTTGAGAGTTTGGATGAAGTTTTTTTTTTTTTTTTGTGTTGGATGTTCAGACTCCACCCATTTTATCTTTAAAGATTTGTTTCAAGTTTGTTTTTTTTCCTTTTTTGGATTTTGTGGGGTAGTTTGGGGTTGTAAAGTTGTATTCTGGTTATTTTTGTTTGGTTTTTGGGTGCCTTGTGCTCCTTAGTTTTGTATGAAGGTGTTGCCTTAACACCTATCTAGGATGTACCTTTTTTTTTTCCTCTTTTAGTGAATCTTTTTTACTATAAAAAAACTACCCAAAGGATAGCCGTGGTTGTGCCATCACGATTATGCTAATGCAAGGCAACCGTGGACGTATAACCACAACTATACGTCTATACCACTACAGGGTAACCCCAATCACAAACTAAAGGCTAACCGTGGCCATCTTCCTTGGATATAGTAAATCGTAGCCACTAGACATGGGCAAACACTGAGCCACAACACATAAGTAAAGTGTTGAGCATGGTGCAAAAGTAAAGGTTGTAAAAGACAAAGGCACTGTACAGGCATGTGAGAGTTGCAGAAATGCCCTGCACATGACACATGGTAGGATTATAGAGGAGAAGGTAGTTACAGTTGTGCATACTGGTAACTGGTCCCCACCCTATGATCTGATGCGTGCCCCTAGCGAATCAACTTGGGTACTTGAGTTAACTGCCTTAAAAATATTCTGGAATCCTTCATTCGATGCATGCATGAACCCTCCTCCCTTAAAAATATTCTGCCTTGGTTCTTACTTGGAAACCTGGATGTTTCAGGAGTAGTATGTGTTTTCAAAAATTAGACAGTGTGCTTATTTGATGCTCTCTGGCATTATTGGGTTCAGTGTTCCAATTAGACTTAAGATTTGTTCTCCTTTTTTGGGGCTGGATTTATATTCCACCTGGGGTTTTCTCAAGTAGAGGTAGAGAAAGATTCTTAGGTGGTCATCTTTTGGATGAGAGACATAGATGAAGGGCCCGCCTGATGAAATAATAATTTTTTTTGAAGAATTTTGTTAAATAAAAAAGGCAGTACATTAGAAGATGTACAAAGAGGAAACCAGAGCAAGACCATTTATCTTTCTGTAACTGTTTAATGCCATTATTATTTTTTTCCTCTTTGGTAGGTTTTCACTTTGCATGACCATTTATCTTTTTCTGTAAAAATGTTACAAGAAGAAAAAAACATGTATAGTATATGGATCTTATACCATATGTTAGATTTCCTACCTGATGGTTTCCATTTTTTGATTGGTTACTTGTTGGTATCCATTATCAATTTTTTCTCCTGATCAGTGTCCATGATAAACATCTATCTCACATTTTGTTTATATTCTATGTCACTATTTGTAGGTATGCTGCTCCTATAATGGTCAACATAGAGTACGTGAAAAAATTTTGTGATCAGATTACTATTGAGAAGAAGGTATTTAGAAATCATTAAGTTAATTATTGGAAGAAAACATAAAAGTTTAAGTTATACTTTGACCCCCGAGGATTCTGAGACTTTTAAAGACATACTCTGCATACCTGGCAATTAAGTGACACCTGTCCTTGTATTCTACAAAATAACATTATAAAACAACAGTCAAAATATTAATGCAGCACATCCTCTACAGAAGATTCACACAAGTAAAACCTGTTAGCAAGCTGAATGCCTTCACTTCTTAGATGATCCTGAGTGGGTATGCTATTCAGAATCACCAACCAAGCAAAAGCTTTGAATCCCTGTAGAAATTGTATTACCCCAAACACCCTTAATGGAAGTTTGCTCTACCTGGTTTCTTGCTAAAGCTTTGTAAAACGATTCACCGAAAAAATGCCATTCTTGCGTTCTTTCCACCATCTTAAGTCTGACCTATCCAAATACAACGCTATAGCTTGAACTTTCTATGTTTTTGGCACCCTCTGCTTTTGGTAATCTAGTTTCACTGATTTTCATGGTATCCAGCACCATAATAGAATGGTTTACTTACTAAGCATTACCAAAGAAGAAAGAAAGAAAGACCGTCTCTTGTATACTTCTTGGATGGGCTCGGTCAATTGGTTTATCTGGTTATACCATTACCAGATTGATGGTTGGATCCTGTCATGCCAATTGGATGGTATACATCACTGATGGATCTTAATACAACATTCCTACAACTTGGATTGAAGCGAGAACAGTAAGATTAACACTAGCTCAAAGTCAAATTGTCTGTGGATTCCTACATGATGTTTGATGTCCAAGATTTTCCCCTTGATAGGGCAACTTAGTAAAGCATCTTGGATGTCAAGGTTATTTTTGTTTTTTTCGCAGGGTAGATAATTGAAATGTTTGTTGGGAGCCCCCAAGGGTTGTATCTCTAGTTGTCAGAAATCCAACGGGGTCAGAATGTAATTTGCTTAGGCTCAGTTTTGAAGGAGTACAAATACAGATATGTATAGTATAGAATCTTTTATTTTGTATGTATTTTGTACTGTACATATTTGTATTTGTACTCTTTCCAAACTGAGCCTTGGGAAAAAATTGTTGAAGTTACCCATGCTTTTGTATGCTATTCAGTTAAGGCAGTTCATGTTTGCAGGAAAATGTTGTTATTGGAAGAATGCCTATAATGCTAAGGAGTTGCTGTTGTGTCTTATATGGAAAGGATGAAGCTGAACTTGCTCGCCTTGGTTTGTTACATATGGAATTTGAGCTAAATAGCTGTTTGGTCATACGCTATTTTTTTCATGTGTGTACCTTCTTTTTTGCATTCCCTTTATTCTCCTATTTGTGCCCTAGGTGAATGCCCACTTGATCCTGGAGGGTATTTCGTTGTCAAAGGAACAGAGAAGGTAATTTGTTGATTTCCACCTTGTGAAACACTTTTTCAATATTTTCTTAATGGATGATAAAATCTTGTCAAAGAATGTGCATAGAGTTAAACAATTAAGCATAAAACCCCAGTTGCAAATTTCAATAAGGAAAATGACAATTTTGAGCCTTAAATAGGGCATTCTACACACAAAAAGTGTAAAAGCATGTGAACTTTGTAGATGGGGTCCGAAAAATTGGTCATTTCCCTAGACATCCTCCAGTTGACACCATCAACAGTTGAATGGGCAAATCTTGGAAGTTTGAATTTGATGGGTAGGGGTAGGGGTGCAAATGGATTGTATCATGATCCAATCCTAATTTGTCAGATTCTGAATACTCCTGTGGGATTTTCGGGTCAGATACTAGGGTCTTATTGAAATTCAGATTGAATTCGAATCACCCCTATCCGATCTGATATATATGTTATTTATTTATTTATATATACAATATTTTTTATTTATATATATGTTTATATTGCATTTTTTGTAATTTTTTAATATTATTTTTAATAAAAAATAGTTGAAGAAAATACTTGTATTTTTTTGTTTTCTTTATATAAACTGTTATATTTTTAAAAATTTTCAGAAACTAAATCAGAATGGATCATTTTCGGATATTTGACATTATTAACGGATTCAAATTCAAATTGATGTTTTGTAAGATCCGATCCGATCTGATCTACTATTTGTACTGTTGGATTGGATTTGAATATACCCTGATTCAAATTCGATCTGATCCAGAAAAAGTTTAGGGGAAGATTATGTGTCTCCCCCTTATGTCTGTCCTCTTTGCCTCTGTGATGGAGAGACAGCTGAAGTGCTGAACACATTCTTCTCCACTGTCTTGTCACAAGGAAGGTCTGGTGCTATTTCCTGAATTTAGTGGGTTGCAGGTGGATATTTTCGGAGAAGGTGGTGGACCTACCATGGCAATGGCAAGGAAGAGGGCTAGGAAAAAGTGGAAGTCTCAACTAGAGTATAGTGACTCGTGCGGTATTGTGAGGCAGAGGTCATGGCTGCACACACAGGAATTTGTTTTGCCAAACAGCTAAGTTTATCCTCTCTAACCATTGATGGAGATTCTGCAAATACTATAGCTTGGTTAAGGGAGAAGGAAGGAGGGCCTTGGAGACTAGCGCACTTGCTAGCTGAAGCTAGGGATATCTTGGGCTCATTGAATGTAAAGCTGGTCTGGATTCCTAGGGAGCTGGACACTGTTGCTGACAGCCTAGCATAATCAGGGGTTTTTAGAGAAAGTTTGTGTTGGAATGTTTACAGTTTATTTTTTTATGTTTGTATTCTTCTGAGTTAGGGTCTGTTTGGTCTAGTTAAAGTAGTATTTTTATCATTGTTTATGCACTCTAACTACAACAAGGGCATAACGGTCTTTTCCCTTTTAATTATGGTCGCCCTATATATGATAATGTAAGATGGCGCCGCCAGCCAGATTTGAAGACTCTAAAACCTTTATCTTTTCTTCTCCCTTCTCTTCTTACTTATTTCTCCGCTCTTCTGCTAATATGGTATCAGAGCAGTTCTACTGGGTCTGAGAGCAGATCGAACAAGTTCTCTCTTTCTTATCTTGTTGTCTTCTTCAACTAAGATCAGAAAAGGCTGACCTACGACTGGTACAAACTTGTTCTATTTTTTTTTTCTCTTGGTCGTGTACCAAGATAAAACAAATGAATCAAGACTGCTGAATGCTGTTAGAGAAGCTGTGAGGTTCTAACCTCTTTTTTTTTTTTTTTTAATGGATCGTGTGATCCCATACCAGAAAACAGAAAACCTATAGGTTGTGGATGACCTATTTTTTAACCTATGTGGTGTGATTGTACTGTTTTATAACCCCTCGTGGTAGTCGATGTATTTGGATGGTCTGGAAGTTGGTGAATTGTGACTGTTGAGGCAGTACAGCACTAAAATCAACCTAAAATCTTGTTCTTTTTGGAGAATTAAAGCTGGTCTGTATTCAGATTGTGCCCAGATTGCAGTGTTTGCATGTGGGCTGCATCTTTGGTGTGTTTCTAGGACTGTTTTTGGTGTTAGGAGTGATCATAAGGTGTGTGTTGAAACTGAAAAGTGTTTGAATCATGCCCTCTGAGAATTCTGCAACTTCTGGGATTTCAGGAGGTCAAAATGGAATGAGTGGGGGGATGGATATGAGTTTCCCCATGGCTGTAATTCCCTTTGATGGACTAAAATACCTTGAATGGTCTAGGGGAATTAAACTTTATATTATTGCTAGAGGGAAAATAGGGTATATTAATGGTAAAGTGAAGGAATCAAAGATTGGAAGTGCTGAACATGACAGATGAGACCAAGAAAATAGTATGGTGATGTCATGGCTATTGGTTTCCATGCTGCCACAAGTAAGGAAGACATTTATGTGGGCTGAAACAGCTTGTGAAATATGGGAACAAGCCAAATCTACCTATTTAGAGCAGAGGCACTATGCAAAGATTAATTACAAGCTGAATCCTCCACTTGCAAGCAGGGGCAGAGGAGTCTCTTGGTATACTACTCAGATCTGACATCAATATGGAAGAAACTAGATCATTATCAAAATGCGAATTGGAAGCGTGATGAAGATGCATAGGCCTAGAAGTCGCTTGTTTCCCAACAGTGGGTATTTGCTTTTCTTTTAGGGCTGAATCCTACATATGAGTCCATGAGGGTATAAGCGAAGTGGAGAGAACAAATAGCAATCAATAGCAGTGAAATGGAGAGAACAAGTGAAGAAAACCAAACTTTATTGCTGAAACAGAAAAATAGTTCAATAACAATATAAACAGTGCATGAACTTTTTTTTTTTTTCAAATTTTTAATCAGTAAGTGCACAAACAATGTTAGGAACCTTTATAGTCTCCTAAAACCCTACACCATATCAATATTGACTACAAAAATTAGGCTTGGTTGTTGAGTGCACTTAATGGCATCAGACTATCAATTAGACTCCCCCAAATACCCTTATATTCAAGAAATAGGGTAAAAGACAAAATTGATCTCAATTTTCCCTAATTGAAAGAACTACTATAATTCATTAACTACTGGCCCAATTGACATAAAACTTTGACCTCCCTTAATTATAGTCCTCATTTTGTCAGATTAACTTGACCTCCCTTAATTATCCAAAGTTAACCAATAGTCAGATTAGAAGAAATTAAGTTTGCGATTTCTACCCAGAAGTTAGACTGTTGATATTGGTCAGATTAGAACAAATTAAGTCTAAGATTTCTGCCCAGAAGTTAGACTGTTGACATGAACAGTCTTCTCCTCCATATTTCTCTTATTCTTCTGAAATTTTGTCAAGGATTTCTACCCAGATGTTAGACTGTTGACATTGTTCAGATTAGGAGAAATTCAGTCTTAGATTTCTGCCCAGAATAAGGTAAAGTAGTATGGTCTCCTAAAAAAACCTCAAATGGAGAAGGATGATAGCACGGTCTCCTGAATAAGGTAAAGTAGTATGTTAAAAACTGCCATACTATATGAAATAGATTGTTGGCAAAGGTTCAACTCAAATCTCCTGCACATAACTCAAAGACTGACCTGCAAAAAACCGCAATTCTTGCCATTCTGCAATGAGTAGTAAAGTTGGGGTGCTGTCTCCTCTTGTCATTTGCTGCAATTGTTTGGCATATTAAAACATTGCTATTTTTTTTGATCAGTAACAGGAATAAATTTATTAATTAACAAAAAGAACAAATACAACTTATAAGTAGCCTCAGCTACAACACTGCGACTTAAGCCTTGCCAAACTAAAACTCTTTAGTTCTTTAACCTTATAACTGAGCCCAAAAGCATTGTTCCCTGTTAACCCCTTGTTTTACTAATTGATCTGCTAAACTGTTTGCCAATCTTGGAATCCACTGAATTGATGTTTATTCCTTTTCTTTAGACTTACATCATATATATTTATATTTTCTAAAAAATTTTCTGAACAATTTGGTAATTGAATTTTCCATTGTTTTGCTTTGCAAATGCTTAATGGGGGTAGGGCTATAATGCTAATGTTTTTTGTAGGTGATTCTAATACAAGAACAACTTTCAAAGAACAGAATCATCATTGATACTGATAAGAAGGGATGGTATGTATTTACTGATTTACGTGCTTATTTAATTTTGAACATGTTCTGTTTCCCTCTGCCATTGAAGATATAGAGTACCATAGGAAAACTGATTAATTTATTTAAAATGAGTTTGTTATGTATTGATAATGCCATACTATGAGAAATCTCTAGGCACAATATCAACAATGAAGCGGGCAATGAATACTCTTGTACCTGAATTGTTAACTGTTTAGCATAACTGCTGTTACATGATTTACCACCATCATCAGAATTGGATAGTTGATGGTGCTGCAAGAATATAATGATTTTGGTTCATATAATTTTGTCATAATCATTAGGTTAGCTCGTCATAATGTTATATTTTTTGCATTTGGCAGTGGAAACTATATTAATTTTATGTTGTGCTAAATGTGTTATAAGAAATTGTTAATTCTGGTAGTTATTTTTCATGATGTGAGAATTTTTATGATTAGCAACAACCAAAGCATTTTTTTAATATACAGAGGGGAAACACCTTCTATGGGGCCCTCGTGTACTGGGTTGCCCTTTTATATCAGCAATGCAATGCCATACATTCCCTATAGTAAAACAGCAAAATGTTAACTAGCACCTAAAGTTATAAATGGCGCTTCAGCCTTGAGGCTGTACACATAGGCATGGAACCCTCTCTAACAGATTCTATCTCCCTACCACATCCTTGGTAAAAAAATCAGCCAAGGCATTAGTTGATTGTGGAACCCAGATGAACAGCTATTTTGAGCAATGCCTTAACTTCTCTATATAGAAAACTGAGAGCCCGTTGCCCTTCTTGTTCTTTTTTTGTTTTTGATCAATAACCACATTTCATTAATTAATCACAAAAATATTGCAAGGATGAAGATAAACTTTCTTATATTCCAGCTGGAGCTTGAGCTCCCAAGACAGAAAAAGGAAAAAATTACACTTGAGCCATTCTTGTTATTCTTTCTGAAAAAGATAAAGTAAATTGTGTTAACTGAAAAAAATACAATGTGGACCCCTGTACAAAGAGTTTCTGTACATTAACCTAACCTTTAAGGACCCCCCAAGAAATCTATATTCAAAAAAGGGTGTAATAGATCAGTTCCACTAGAACAAGTACGAGTAGATAACAAAAATTTTATCATGCCCACAGCACAGGTAATAAACCTCCTCCTCTGGGCTGCACTTCTGTTCAAAAACTCTACTATTCCTTTCATTCTAGATTGCCCATAAAACTCCAGGGGCACCACTGCCCAGCATGCATTGCATTTCTTTTGATCAGTAAGAATAGATTTTATTAAAATCAACTTGAAGATTACTACAAGGTGGGATTATTATCCACCCCAGCAACACCACAGCAATACAAAAGTTTGCATTTTGTTACTGGCCAGTGCAAAAGCTCTGGAAACAGAGACCTGAAACCACTTTTCTTTTCTTTTCCTTTTTTTTTTTGCATTGCAAATTCAGTACAGCAATGTCAAATCATTTCTTGAAGGCTGTTACTCTAATTTGATGCTTCCCCGGTTCTGTGAAGGGACTCCTGAATGAGTGGCAAGTACCCAAACTGACTAAAAAAAGGGAATTTGTGCTAATCACCTATTCCATTGGCAATCATTCAGGCTTTATGGTTTGAAAGGAATAACAGAATTTTTAATCAGAAGTCCTCATCTGAAGCAGAGGTGATAAATTTGGTGGTTGTCACAGTCAGGGACTGGTTGGCTGTTCATAATGTTTTTAAAGATGACACCTTTTCTACTTCCTTTTTGAATGTGGATTCTTTTGAGGTCCTTTATGGCTACACATGTACAGAGGATTATATACTTTGATTAATACAATACATTATACTTCACCCTTTCTCAAAAGAAAAAAAAAGATTCTAAAATTTCTTTCATTCTATATGGCCGACAAGAATTGACACAGAGTATACAATGCTTCAGTCCCCCAATGTTATTTTTTATTCTCTTAATTGTAATATGAGCACAATAACACATGTATCCTTAGTAGGGCAGCCGGCACTAAAGACAATAATAAAAAAAGAAAAAATAGGCCCACAACTAAGGCCCACTACTTATAAACATAAAACATATACATAACTAAAGAAAGGAAAGAAACTAAGGCCCATTCGGCCCATCTTCTCTACAGAAACTGAACAGCTTTATGGACTTGGATGAGATGTTGGTGTCCTTTGACTTCCTCTGAACCAATAGAATAAAGTTTAACAAATCTCAAGGGTTCAAGATATTTCTTCAGTCTTTAGAGTTTTATTGATCAACTGCATATTATTAAATGGAATATTTGTTCATTTTTTTATATGGAATTCATAGAATTGTGAACAACTTGATTTGTTGTTATGGCTTATGACTTGACCTAAAAGCTGGGTAATTTTCTTTTGTCAACTTTATTCTTTTCAAAATTAGAGTGTTGTTGCCATTATTATTATTATTTTTTTTTGTATTTGAGAAAAAGGTAAGCAGCCTTATTTGTCACGTTGTCATATGAATATGCATATATTCTATGTTAACCTTTTTGTGGTTTTTTATTTTCATCAGTTTAAATGCATCCGTTACTAGCAGCACAGAAGCAACCAAGAGTAAAACAATTATTCTCATGGACAAGGGGAAGATATATCTACGCCTTAATGCATTTGTTAAAGATGTGCTCATTCATGCACTATCCCATTGGTTTTCATTTCTTTGGAGTTTTTTATAATAAAGTTTGCATTTAATATTTATTGGTGTTGTGTAGATTCCTATCATGGTGGTCATGAAGGCTATGGGAATGGAAAGCGATCAAGAGGTGGTGCAGATGGTTGGAAGAGATCCAAAATATGGTGCCCTCCTTCTGCCTTCCATTCAGGTATCCATGATCTACAGGAAATATATTCTAGTTTGCTAATCTGTCCTGGTATTAATCAATTTCTCTTTTGAAGTTAATAAAGATGCAATGTTCAATGAAAATTTGCAATTTCTTTTTCAGTCTAATTCCATGGCAATAGAAATCTGTATCTTTTTAATTTTCCGTGTTTGTCTTGGTTTTGCAGCTATGCAACTTTTATTTTGCATGGTTTTAAATCTTTTAAAACTATTCTAAAGTCTCTACTTCATTGTTTTAGAACTGGGGATATACTAAAGTTTGTCATAAGAAGCTTTCTGTGTGGTCAATGGTCATAGGAAACTTAAGATCCTGTCAATATAATAAAGTCCTTATCAGTCTGTCTAGTGACCTACTTGTGTATCAATAATGAGTATCAGAGACTCTGGATTGGATTGTATTTCGCAGTTTACCTTAGAAGTATGGGCAACAGGTCACTCGTACATGCTTACAACTCACAGCGGTTCTTGAATAGATGTTCTTAGTCTGTCTAGTGAACTACTTGTGTATCAATAATGAGTATCAGAGACTCTGGATTGGATTGCATTATGCAGTTTAACTTAAAAGAATGGACAACGGGTAACTTGTACATGCTTACAACTCACTCACAGCGGTTCTTGAATAGATGTTCTCGTCATGTGCTTTTGCTTTGTTCCTTGGGGAAATTCCCTGCGGGTCTAGAATTTGTCTGGTTCATTCTAGATGAAAACCAAGTGAAACATGACTCTAGGGGGAGAGTTTCTTGTTCCTATCAATCAAGACAATATTTGTTGCATCTTTTTTGATAGTAAATAAAAATTCATAAAAAAAGAAAAGGATAACAGTAGCTTGGTTATAAGATATCATCCAAGAATATGAAAGATAATTCAGTTCTTCCACAGCCCAAAACAGAACATAAAAACTGCTCATTTATCCCCAACAATCCCATTAGACAAACCATTAGAAGAATGCTATAACCATGACTGGACAGTACAAACCAAAAAGCCAGATCATCCCAATTCATCTGCTAGTACATCATTCACCTATTCACCGCAAGAATTTACTTCAGCACCTTAAACATCGCTCTTCTATTTTAGCCATTGTTGATCACCTGTGTCTTCATTGCACAGTCTCTTTCAAAATCTGGGAGCATTTCCTCAAACCGGCTGGCATTTGCTGGGTTATGCCTCACTCAGTCAAAGATCTATTGTGGTGTTGGATGCTGCTAGGTCTGAACAAGAAAGGGAAAGATGTTTAGAAGACCATTCCTGCTGCTGTCCTTGAAACTATTTGGGTGGAAAGAAATAACTGAGTCTTCTGTAACAAAGAAAAAAGTGTAGACGAGTTAATTTGTTGTACTGTGAGCGGATTGGTCTCTTGGGTCTTTGTAGTCAAAGAGTTTAAGCTGCAAATCTTTCTCAGTTGCTTAGTCCTCAGTCTTCCTGGGTAGATTGTTTCTTTTACCAGGAGCATGTGGTACTATGTTTCTCCTTCTTTCAATAAAAATTTTACTTTACCTTTCAGAAAAAAATGTCACATATGGCATCTGCTTACTCTCGTTTATCCTTCCCTTTTTTCTTATTCTTGTAGAAATTGGGAAGATAAAGATTAACATTGAATATGTAGGGACATCTATGTCACGTTTATTACCTTTCTCTCAACAGATGTATGAACCCCTTACACTAGATCCATGTAACCTACCCTAATTAATGTTTCCTATATTATTGTCCTTTTTTTATATTTACTTCTCCTTCTTACCATAATTACTCTCCGACTTCTTGACATACATATTACCCTCCCTTCCCACTTCTCCCACTCTCTTTCGTTCTAACTTGAACTCTCCGATCACCAGAAGTTCCTTTTCTCACACTATCTGATGACTGTAACCTTTTCTCATTTAACCATGTCCTCCCCCCTTCCATTTCACTGTGTTCATCCTCATTAAACACCTCACCTCTTACCAATATCTCGTTATTAATTTCTTTAAGTTCATTTAATTTAACCCCTTGACCCATTGAGACTCACCTGCCTGCCATGTCATAGAAAGAGTTAAGTTTAATATCTGTTTCTATCCAGAACCCATCAGTTTCAACCTCCGGCACCAACCCTTGTGTTTCCATCTGCAGAAAACCAGAAGCCGCTCTATCTCCATTACCCGTAGTTGTAATATCTTTACCCTCCTGATACACTTTTTGTTTCCAATAGTTCCCCTTCTATCACCAATTCAATGTTAAAAGTTCTCTAAAAGATCTTGATAGACAATGGAACAGACAAAGAATCAGCCTCTATTAAAATTCAAGGTGTTTGCCAGTGATTCCACTGCCCACACAACGTTTTGCAATCAATGACCATTTATTTGTTATATGCTATCCTATTCTTCAAGGACCTGAGAACACATTGCTTATAAAGGATTCTCTGCCACCAGTATGTATAAGAATCCCTGCAGATGGGTTCCAGCTATCAATCCTAACTCAGGTTAATGCCACTGTTTTGGCTCCTATCTAACGCCTTTTCAGCTTCTTATTAGAAAAAAAAATGTAAAGAGACTAGGCACTTTCTTTTGTCACTGGTTGGGTCTTTTTTGTAGTTATTTTCTCTTTTGTTTATTGTACTGTTGAGTGTTGATATTGTTTTTCCTCTTTAAGATGGAACCTAGCTACATATTTAGAGTGTGAATAGAAAAATCTATAATCTAGTGAACTTCTTGGTAAAAGGCGATCAGTATTCTCTCTCTCTCTCTCTCAATTTGGATTAACACTATTTCCTTTTGCTTTTTGTTTTATTGCAAATAGGCAAAACGTTTGATGTGTTTTAGGCCATTTTTTCTCCATTAACGAATTGAACCCTTGCCTACTTGCAGGAGTGTGCGGGTCATGGCATATACACACAACAACAGGCTCTTGAGTTCCTTGAAAAGAAGGTCAAAATTTTCTATTCATATATTGAATTTAACTTTTTTTTTCCTATTTGTTCATCATAGACTGGCCATTACTCAGAAAGATTTCATGGAGATGTGTATATATGATTTTAACTAAATATGGGATGAGGATCATGAGATAATGAGAAACTAAGTGGCCATTTTGTGTGGGAACTTTACTTTTTCTTTTTCTTTTATTCATTCATCATGGATTGGCCAGGGCTCACAAGGATTTCAAGGAGATGTTCGGATCTGATTTAAATTAAAAGTGGGACTAGGATCATGAGATAATGAGACACTAAGTGGTAGTGGCCGTTGTGTATAAGGCCAGAAATGTTGTATGGAATTTTTATTTATTAAATGGATCTGTGCGGAGTAAAGTATTGAGATTGTCAAGAAGCAACATGTCCAAAATGAGTGTAGTAGAAATGCAAATGTCAAGACAGATTACTGTGAAGATTATAATGGATAGGATCAGAAATGTACATATCAGTAGGAACTAGGAGTAGCCCCAATAGGTTTTAAAATGAGGGTAAATAATTGTGTGGAACACCTATCTTAACAGAATCCTAACCAGGGATAACTTGACCAGGAGGGGTGTGCCGTTAGAGTCCAATAATTGTGTGCTTTGCGATGGGCATGTTTGGAGAGTTGTTGGTCTAACCAAGAGGGGGAAGGCAGCATTTGAATATTACTCCTGCAGCAGCCTTATGGTGCATATGGCAGGAGAGAAATGCAAGGATGTTTAAAAACAAAAGCAGCTCGGTAGATTCAGTATTTCAGAAAATCTTGGTGAAATTGTTTTCCTGGCTGGCCATGAACAAGCTTTGTAGGGAAAGAAATTTCAATTCCTTTTTGTATATGACAATCTTTTTGCAAAGAAGAGGGCGGGGATTTAGGAATGTAAGGATGTTGGTCGTGTATCCCCCATTTTTGTATAGAAGCTTGTTATACTTGTTTTGGTTTTTCAATGAAATTGCGCAAAGGCAAGGTGCATTCTAGGGAAGGTGCCTTGCCCAGGTCCTAGGTGCAGCCCTTTCAAAAGATGCACACCTGGTGCGCCTCAGCCCAGGCGTGCGTCTTTTGATATCATTAAATATCTTCTTAAAAAGCAATTAAATCTATGAAATCATTATTTCTTGTGTGAAACTAAGAATTTAAGACCCTAACATGGACGTGTTTGGGCTTGCCTTGAGGGACGTGGCACCAAGGCAGCTCGTAGAATTAGGAATGTAATATGTCACATTAGCTACTTGAAGTAATGTAATTGAGAAAAAAAGAGATTGTGGGTTTTATATGCTTGAAAATGTTTTATATGTTTGATTTCATTTTTAAATTCTCATTTTTAAATTCACATTGCAAAGAGGTCTTTGGGCTGTTTAGTTGCACTTTTGTCAAAGGAAGATACTGGTTCCTGGACAAGGTTCATGTTGATTGTTGCATGTGAATATGGTTTGTGGTCTGAGCTAGTGCTTAGAGAGTTGTATTTGATTAAGATCAGTTTAGATTCCTTTTTCCCCATATCTGGTGCACTGCACGTTTATTAAATTTACTTGTTCTACGCTAAATTTGATAATACTGTAATTTGTATTTGCAGGTGAAGAAGTTCTCATTTTCAAATCCTGCACTAGAAAAGGTATTCTAGTGGCTTCCTTTTTATGCCTTTCTTTTGCAAAGCATTTTGCATTTTGTGTGCATCTTTTTCTAATTGCTTTTTCTTATTTTTCGTTCCACAGGAAGGCAGAGCAATGGATACACTTCGTAATGTATTTATTGCAAATGTTCCAGTAAGTCTTGTTGTAGAGTATACCTGTTCTGATTTTAGCCATATTTTCCAATTTTCACTCTGAACTTTTGTTTCCTTCCAAAAAGGTTCGTCAGAATAATTTTCGTCCAAAATGTATATATGTTGCGGTAATGATGCGGCGTATGATGGAAGCCTTTTTGAATAAGGATGCAATGGATGATAAGGTAACGTGCAAGATGCCATTACAAATGCATTTTCTTTCCCTAGATATTTGTTTTTATACTTTCATTATATCTGGATATTTTAGTTGTACATTCTGTTCAATATTATTTGCATTTGTAGAATGTTTTGTTTTCATTTGTTTTGAAATTACCATATCAGCAAAAAAAAGTTCTTGAACTGTTTTTTTTTTTTTTTATTTTAAGAAGCAAAAACAAGTTGGTTTGTTTTCAAAAAACAATTCATGCCTTTGAAATCATAAAAAATTATGATTTTTAATACAAGAACACACGTTACGAGTACAGATATTATATTATTAATGAAAAATGACAAGATATATTGTATGGTTTAAATCAAAAACATGTTTTTCAAAGTATAAACTCAAGATTTTTTTTTTTGGGTTTCAATTTTAGAAAATCAAACACTTTTAGAACCAAGAACATGTTTTCCTCGTTTTTTTTTTCTTTTAAGAAAAACTTGTCTTCGAACTGGATGGTTTTAATTTGTTTTTTGAACTCGCAACAGGAAAAACAATTCACATTGAAGAGCACACCTTAAGTTTACCATAAACAACATTTAGATAATGCAAAATATTTGACATTGATAGTAGAAAAGTTTATTTGGGGGGAAAGGAAAATACAAAGCTTTAAATAGAGTGAAATAGTCTCTCATGGCAAATTTGATGTTTGGAAAATATTTCGGTTCTCCCAAATGTCTTTCTTTATTTGTTTTAGCCATTGAGGCGATGGCTTTGGAATTAAGTTTTCCATACGGATAGGGGTCTGCAAATGGAAATATGTGTGGCTTCTTTCAGACCCCAACCATGTAGACATGTGGGGCCACATTTGGAAAGCTTGTTTCAAGCTGGGTCTCGATTCTACCAGAGTTTGAGCAATTTAATAGTGCAGATTTAGAAGAAAATTTCTGGGATGTTCTTGAGATCTCAGCTTGTAATGTAAACATGTTTTCATAGCTTCAGTTGTTCAGATGTTACCTTGACACCTACTAATGTTGTATCTTTCTTTTTATTTAATAAAATTTTCTTCTTTACTCTTCAAAATAGTAGACATGTGGGGCTACATAATACAGAATCACAACTACAGGTGAGATGCTAAGACTAAGAAACATTTGCAGATATGGGGGTTCCATGACATTAAATAGTTGGGACTAAGCATTTTAGAGCCCAAAAATTTACAGGTGAATGAGCGTTATATTCTGAGTGAGAGCAGTGCATGTGAGGCCAACCCTGTGGTATTCATCATACTGTTGCATCTTCAGAACAAAATTACTTGTGTACCTTAAATATGAAAGTTAGGAAATAGGGGGTGGCAGACTGGCAATTAATAACACGAAATTCTATGAACAATGCCGAACATCTTTATCTCTTGATTTGCAGTAGTTGTATTCACATATGAAAAGAACTAAAAGATTATTGACAGATTTGAGTTCTTTATTTCCTATAAAAAATGATGAGTTCTATTAGCATCCACCCTATTGGTTTTTTTTTTCTTTTTTGTCTTTGTTCCCAAATTTATAGTTAAGTATAAATATTAATGGGATGGGACTGACAGAACATCTTCTTTTTTTTTTTTTGTGGCCAGAACATCTTTGATACCATTTCCTCTTCTGTTATATTGTTCTTTCTTCTCCTTCAAGAACCTTCTTGTACTTCTGTTTCATGTTTCTTATCAATTTTCTTTATTTTTTCTTTCTACTTGGCATTATAGCCTTTTTTTAAAGCCTTCTTAAGGACGATTCTGTGTAGTTTTGAGATCAGCTAACTGCTTGGAAGCTTAAATGAGCTGTTTGATCTGCTCTTGAAGGCCCAATTCTTGGATTTTTGGTGGACTGTTGCTCTTCAGTGCTGGATCTAGGATAACAACCCAAAATCAGGAAGAGTTGGAGAGAAAAGTAATCCTACTAGCATCAAGACTAGGATTGTCAGTCTGTAAGTGAGGCAATTGAGTTTTTCCCAGTTTCTGAAGGATTTTACAGAGGGTGATTCAATTGGAAGCAGTTTCTAGTGCATCTAGTGAGATTGGCACCCTGCTTTACAGTTCCCATCTAACCCGGAAGAACCGGAAGTTGTCAACAGGTTTTTTCTTTTGTTTTCAAAAGGTTCTCTATAATTGTAGAAGAGGCTGATTTGACATTGTAGGGTTTTTGGGGAGTTCGATTGGCTAATCTCACTTTCATAGGATTCCTGGGTCGCTGGATCTTTGCTTTGGACCAAATTGATTTGGTCCAGGGTCTTTTCTATTATTTTTCTTGGTGTTTTATGCTGTTTGAAGTGCTATGGATGCTATTGATTCTTATCAGAAGTCACCTTGTGATCTTGGGATGAGTCTAGGGGGTTCTGGTGACCTCTAGAGTGCAGGATTGATTACTACTGTGAGATTGGATGGTGCGATTTATCTAGAGTGGTCCCAATCTGCACGTATGGCTATTGGTGCACATGGGAAACTGGGACTGGGATACATCACTGGTGATGCAAAGAAGCCTGAGGTGACTGATGCTTCTTATGCTAAACGAACTTAGAGAACTACATGGTGATGAGCTGGCTGCGCAAGTCTATGTTGCCCTATATTAGCAGATTTTTTTGGTGGGCAAATACTGATAAGAAATATAAGGAGATTTGGCTTTTAGAAAAACAAGATATTTGTGGCCTCTCCTGACATATTTCATGTCCAGATTGGAGGAGATATGATGACGATGGAAAGGTTTCTGCTGGCGACAATGTGGAGGAAGATAATGGTCATGGAAAAGAAGAGATTTCTTCTGGAAGAATTCGGTGGAGGATCAGTGATTAAAATGAGATAAGATAAGAGAGCTTTAGTAGTTTTGGGGAGGGAGGCGGTTTGCTGGTTCAAAGGTTTTCTCGATGGTACAATCCTTGCAATCACAGAGCTTGGATGGAAAGGAGGGTTGGTTTGTGGCAAAAAAACTTCTTGGTGGAGAAGAAGAGTTATAACAGGGGTACCTTTATTCAGCTAACTGAGGCTTTTGGAAATGGAAAGAAACAAGTGATTTGCATACCAGAAGCCAAAAGGAAGCAAGGTTGGATTCTGTTTGCAGGAGCTCTAGTTTAATTCGATAAGTGGTTGGGATTGTTAAGAAAAATGAACATTCCTATCCAAGTATAGGAAATGTCAGCATAGGTAGTGATTTAAAAGGTGCGCCTCAGCACGCCTGAGGCGCACAGGCGAGGAACATTTTAGGGTATGTGCCTCGCCCAGGTCCTAGGCACAACCCTTTCAAAAGGCGCACACCTGATGTGCCTAGGTGTGTGCCTGGTGCACTCAGCCTAGGCATGCGCCTTTTGAAAATTTGACACTTTTTTCCTTTTCTTGAGAACCCCCTATTTGGTAATTGTTGTTGCCATGCCTAGGTGTGTGCCTGGTGCACTCAGCCTAGGCATGTGCCTTTTGAAAATTTGACGCTTTTTTCCTTTTCTTTAGAACCCCCTATTTGGTAATGTTGTTGCCATTAAAAATGGGTTATTCAATTTTTTTTGATTATCATCGATTGGTTGACCCAAAGTGTAAACCATCCTACATGGAAGTATTAAAAAATGGGGTTAAAGGGGGTGGGTTATAGGTTGAACCTTGGTCGAACCAGCGAGTTGAACCAGAAACCAATTTCCACCAACATGATGACTTAAGTGGCACGTGCATTGGTTTTAGTAAGGTGATGGTGGACGATAATCATGCTCTGTCATTGTCCCCATCAACCCATGACAGTCAAACAAGCACAAACTCTTCACAGTTGCATGGGGGAATCAGAACATGCCTAATCCTCGCTATTATAGGACTAAGGTGGATTAGAAGGATGATGACGAAGACGATCAGTGGGTTGACTGTGGAAGGCCAAAAGTTCTTAAAGAAACTCCAATTATTGAAAAAGGGGTTACAAGAGTGGATTGGGAGAAATTTGGAAGATTGGAGGAGAAGAAAGCTGATTTGATTTCGCAGATTGAGGCAATTAATAGCAAAGAGGTAGAAGGATCCTTAGGTGAAGGTGAATGTGAGTTGAGATGGTCTTTGAAGAAAGAACTATGGTAGACTTTATTGAGGGAGGAAATATGTTGGAAATAAAAATAAAGAGAGAGATGGATCAAAGAAGGTGATGGAAATACAAGGTTTTTCCATGCCATTGCAAATGGAAGGAGAATGAGGAGCATGATTACTTCTGTATTGGTGCGGGAAAATGAGATTATAGGCCCAAGTGAGATTGCAAAAGCATTCTTAGAGCATTTCAGGCCTATTTATAGAAGACCCCAAGTCGAGAGGTAGAGGGCTGAAGGCATTGATTGGGAGACTTTAGGGGATTCTCAAGTCCATGTTTTGGAAAAAAAGGTTTGAAGAGAATGAGACTAAGGAAGCGGTCTTTTCCATTAATAGATCAATAGCACTAGGACCCGATGGTTTCACAATGGCTTTCTATCATGACTGTTGGAACATAATCAAAGGAGATTTGCTCAGAGTGTTCAATGAAGTCTATAGAAGAGGAGTGATAAGTCCGGGTATGGACTCTAATTTTTTAGCACTAATCCCAAAGAAGAACAATGCCAACCAGCCAGGGAATTTCAGACCAATAAGATTAGTCACCAATATTTACAAGGTGATAGCAAAGGTTTTGTCTTTGAGTATTAAGAAGGTGATCCCCCTACTTGTTTCTCAGTCGCAAGGGGCCTTTGTACATGATAGACAAAGCCCTAAGTAAATTGATTTCGAGAGCAAATTGTCTGCAACTATTCGTGGGTTGGTCAGTGGGGAGGGATAACGTTTGAGGCTGGTAGGGAAGGAGTAGAAAATTTGAGGCTGGTTGTGAAACTCTTTGAGAGGATATCTAACTTGAGGATTAGTTGGTCTAAGAGCTTATTGGTTGGTACCAACATTGAAGAGGATGAATTGAGGTTTTTGGAAAATTCCCTTGGCTGTGAGAAAGGAGAGTGGCCATTGAAATACATGGGCTTACCCCTAGGAGACAATCCTAGATTTGTTTG